ACAAAAAAACTAGCCGGGCGAGGTGGCGGGCGCCTGTAGTCCCAGCTGCTCAGGAGGCTGAGGCAGGAGAATGGCGTGAACCCGGGAGGCGGAGCTTGCAGTGAGCTGAGATCCGGCCACTGCACTCCAGCCTGGGCGACAGAGCGAGACTCCGTCTCAAAAAAAAAAAAAAAGAAGACTCTTGAGAGATCTGCAAGCCACATGACATGCCAGTGCCATGGAGGTCAACCTGACCCAAAGACAGAAGCTTTACCAGACTGCACCATCTCTAGAATCCCAGAAATCTCTCAAGTTCCTTCCCTTCCCCCTGCTTTCCAAAGCAACCAAGTCACCATTCACCTAATAACAAACAACAACAACAACAAAATTCGCCTTTGTCCGTATCAGCCAAGGTCCAATTTCATGCCTTAAGATTTTGGATAGGTCATTGGAAGGCTATCCATCCCTGCTGCCTCCATGCCAAACCTCAAAATGCTAAATTAAATATAGGTAAAATGACAGGCTCACTTTTCCCATCTTTTACCTTGCTTGCAGATGGCTGTCACCTAGCCGGGGACCTGCAGGTACAACTGTTTAATACTTCAGTGGTTCTTCACTGGGACAATGTTGTCCTCCAGGAAATAGCCAGCAAGGTCTGGAGACATGTTTGGTTGTCATAACCAGCGGGTGGGAGAGATGTTGCTACAAGCGTCTGGTGGGTAGAGGCCAAGTACACTGCTCAACATCCCACAGTGCGCAGGACAGCCCCTACCACAAAGAACGATGTGGCCCAAGACACCACTAGTCCAGAGGTGGAAAACCTCTGTTGTATCCTGTGTTGAGCTGACCATGGAGGGCACTAAAGGAAGCTATCAAGCCACTGCTGAGCCATTCAGAGTCCTCCTGGATAGATATGGAGGGAAAGGGGATGTGGAGTTTTCTATCTGACTTTATTTTCACTATATTGCATTAGTCATCCATGTGGTCTTCAATATTTTACCCCATCACCAACCACCAACACTGCCCCAATTCCTGAGGAAGATCAGATGGTATCTCAGCCCTTCCCTATTCTCCATTCATTCTACCCACATGGAGTGAACACCTAATGCATGCCAGGCACAAAATGGTGACTAAGCCATAGCCTCTGCTCTCGGAAGCGTTCGGTCTCCTGCAGAAGGCAAGTTTGGCCCCTTATGTGACTGGAGAAACATGACACCAGGTGCCACGACTCCAGGGGCGCCACCTCTCACCTTGTAGTCTATGGGAATGGCGCCCCTGGAGGACGGCTTCAGAAAAGCAGGTGAAGTTGCCTCTTTGGGGTTGACCAACATGGCGGCCTCTGAAAGGCTAGAAAACAGGAAAAGGCAGATCAGTGGGGAGGAAGAGCCTTAGCTGTGCCTTAAAGGCAATGGGGGAGGACAAGGGACAGACAGGGAATAATATGGACAGAGAGTAGAATGAATGAACACATGTCTAATAGATATCAACAAGAGTGTCAGATACAAAACCACTATAACAGGCATTGCAATACCACTTTAGTGGTATATAAAGCTTTAGTATATAAAGCTCACTCAGGACTTACAAAGTGCTAGGGGCCTTCATGAATTATCTTGCTTTGCCCAAACATGAACCCTGGAAATAGATATTATTATCATCTGCAAATTGCAGATAAGGAAGGTGAGGCTCCCTAATTAGATATTTTACTCAAAGCTGCCCAACTCAAAGGTGGCAGAGCACAAATTGGACTGTGAATGTTGATCATATGAACTTGGTCATTCTTGTCACACCCAACTAAAAAAGAGTTGAGAAATCAGGTGGGGAAAAGGCACTCAGGACGCATAATATTGCTGCAAGAATGTTATTCTCTGCAAGTCCAGCTGCTGAGACGGCCTGTTGTAACCTGAGACGAGTTTTATCGATAGCTGCTGAGATAAAGTGCTGCAACTCTAGGACTAATTTCATCTACTGCCATCTCCCACCAATCAAGCTTGCCAGCTCCCCAGAAACTTCTAGAGCCAATGAACATTCTCAAAGAGCAATACATAACATTTCTCTTTGCCATAAAACCTCCAACCTCCTCTTTGTTCTTCAAGTGTACCAAAGTCTGCCCAGTCTGTGTGCATGCCCCAAACTGCAATTCTTTCTTCCCAAATAAAACATTAAATTAAGAAATTCATCACTGCATTTTTATTTTGACTTTGCCAGAACCCATGGAGTTTAATTCCAAAATCTATATGCTTAACAGCTCCCCTATTAGCTGAGAAGAAAACTGTTCAAAAGCCCAGTAAGCAGTGAGCATATGAGAGTTCAGGGAGCTAGCTGAAGCAGAAAATTTACTGGAAGAAGTAAAGAGACAGGCTCTGAAAAGCATCAAATGCTTAGCTAAGCAGCCTGACCCTTGACACTGTAGAATTGGGAAGGCACATAGGTTTCCTCCTGTGATCTACTCTAGTTGATAGCTAGCTATGGGGAGAAGCAGTAAGGAGAGGAGTTTGAGGTTTACTGTTATTGATTAGTGATGTCTGCCTTGAGTGTAGGAATGGGAGATAACAGCACACTTAGCCTAGACTTGCCATCCCTGATGTGGGCAATGAGGAGCCATTACAAGTTTCTGAGCAAGGAGTCCTTACTCAGGCTATGACATGAAGAATAGAGATCAGAGCAGAGAGCCCCGGGATTCCATGGAAAGCAGCATTTTCTTCAAAATATGAAACCTGCAAAAGGCAACCTGCTCCAACAAACTTGATCAAATATTTTTACAATTATCTCCACTCCCTGAATTCTTCTTTTAACTCTACTAATCTCATTCAAGAGTTCCAAGGAACTCCAGTAGTGCTTTCCCCCCACCCAAGAATATTCCTCATTATAATTTTGTTCTCATATAACTTTGACTAATTAGAACGCTTGGGGAGGAAGGGGTGGCAGAAAGGCTCAGGGAATCACGAGAATAAGCAAGAATTATTTAATCACCACCTGGTTAATCTAAATTACTATCCACAGTGTCCCAACATGGAGATATCTTCTCCAAAAGATGCCTTATTGAGAGGCGTGGAGTGAGGTGGCCAGTAGCCAAAGACCACCTCAAGGTGTCCCTCCCACAGCACACAAGCCAAAGAGTTCCTGTGCTGGTCAGAAAAAAAAAAAAAAAACCCTGCCATGGCAAAGTCAACTGCAAGGTATTAACAAGACAGACTAAAATCACAAAACAGAGACACAGGAATGAATCTTTATACATTCCTTCAACAAGTGCTTTTAACATTCCCACTGTGTGTCAAAATACCTTAGAAGTGATACAGACATCTTCCCACTTTATGTTGAATCCATCCCACACCATCCATAGTGGACCATGGTGACTAATGTCTTCAGAAGCCCAGCACATTTTCCTCCATTCCCCTTCTTCTGGTAACTTCTAGTAATTTCTACTCCCAATCACTGGGATGGACATATGACCCAGTCAGACCTGGCCAATCATGCTCAGTGATTGCTCTGGGGGTGGACATATGATCTGAGCAGAGCCACGCAGAGTCCTCTCCTGAGACTTTCTCTTGTAGTCAGGGTTATGAAGGAGGATGTGGAATCAGGAGCAATGGTGGCCATCTTCCCCACCACATGGACAAAGCAGAAGATGGAGCCAGGCAGAGGGAAGCAGACAGTCTCCACCTCCTTCAATTCTGCAAACTATCTGAGAATTCTTCCTGACTACATGAACCAACACATTTCCTCCCTTGCTGATATGGGTTGACTGTGCCCCCAGCCAAATCTCATCTTGAATTGTAGCTCCCATAATTCCCACATGTCGTGGGAGGGACCTGGTAGAGGATAATTGAATCATGGGTGCAGTTTTCCCCATACTATTCCCGTGGTAGTGAATAAGTCTCACGAGATCTGATTTGTTTTGTTTTGTTTTGTTTTGTTTTTCTGAGACAGAGTTTCGCTCTTGTTGCCCAGGCTGGAGTGCAATGGCGCAATCTCGGCTCACCACAACAAGCAATTATTCAGCCTCAGCCTCACAAGTAGCTGGGATTACAAGCATGTGCCACCACGCCTGGCTAATTTTGTATTTTTAGTAGAGACAAGGTTTCTCCATGTTGGTCAGGCTGGTCTCAAACTCCTGACCTCCAGTGATCCGCCCGCCTCTGCCTCCCGAAGTGCTGGGATTACAGGTGTGAGCCACTGCGCCCAGCAAGCTGATGGTTTTATAAGGGGTTTCCTCTTTCACTTGGTTCCCATTCTGTCTTTTCTGCCACCATGTAAGACATACATGCCTTTCATCTTTCACCATGATTATGAGGCCTCCCCAACCACATGGAACTGTGAGTTCATTAAGCCTCTTTTTCTATATAAATTACCCAGTCTCTAGTATGTCTTTATCAGCAGCGTGAAAATGGACTAATATACTTGCCATAAGCTATCATCTCACCCCAGTTAAAATGGCTTCTATCCAAAAGACAGGCAATAACAAATGCTGGTGAGGATGTGGAGCAAAGGGAACCCTTGTCCACTGTTGGTGGGAATGTAAGCTAGTACCACCACCATGGAGAACAGTTTGGAGGTTACTCAAAATACTAGAAGTTTCAAAAATAGTTTTGACTGATATATCATCCATGACTCACATCTCCATTTGGTATCCTCCAGGGATTGGGGAACTGATGTGGGACTCACTGTCTTAAGGTAACCCTTCTACTTTGAGGCACTTTGTCAGAAATCTCTTTCTTAGAAAAAGCCAAAT